GCTCCCCCACCCCGCCGCGGGAGCCCACCCGCCGAACCCCTCGGAAGGGGAGCGTCAGCCCAGCCTCAGCCCGGCCCAGTGAGCCCAAGACCACCGGGGCTGAGCTCTGGGTACAGGATGGCTCTGAGGATGAGCCCCCCAAGGACTCAGACGGAGAGGACCCCGAGATGCTGGCTGTTGGGGGCCGGGGCCTCACCCCAGGTGGAGGGGCCGGCTCTGAGCGGAAGGGACTTCTCTCAGGGTCCCTGCTGCCCCCCTCTCTGCCCTTGAGCGTGCCCTGCGTCAGCCCCTACTTCCACACAGGTGGGCACTCCCTGCTCTAGACCCCTCAGCAGAGGGTGGGGTGGGAGGAGACCCATCCCCCCACGTCTCCTTAGGAAGTCCAAGGGGAGAAAAGGCCCTTTTAGTCATGGATCTGGACAAGGGCAGAGGTCAGCAGATGGGTGGGAACCTGGGAAAGAGGCAGCCACAGTCCTAGTAACACCCCCTCCCAACCAGGCGCCATGGGGGGACTCTTCAGTGATGGGGAGGAGGCCACCACCCCTGAGGACATCAGCAAGTGGACAGTGGACGATGTCTGCAGCTTCGTGGGGGGCCTGTCGGGCTGTGGAGAATACACACGGGTGAGGGGGCACCTGCCCAAGATGGTCCTGAGCTCCTGTTCCCAGTGCCTCTCCTCACCCCCATTCTCCTCCTCAAAGGGTGGGGGGGCACCGCGCATGCTCCCGTCCCAACCTGCAGTGCTATGCCCTCCACACAGGCATATGTCCAAGTTTTCTTTCACATGAATATTTTCCCTACAAACTGCACCAACAGCTCCTCTTGGCTCCGCTTTCCAAAGCCTTGAGCCCTCCACCCCCCACCCCGACCTGGCAGCCTTGGCCTGGCTGAGGGACCCTGAAGGGTGAGCAGGCAGTTCCCACTCAGGCCCTGACAGGCTCCCACCCCACCAGGTCTTCAGAGAACAGGGGATAGATGGGGAGACCCTGCCCCTGCTGACGGAGGAGCACCTCCTGACCACCATGGGGCTAAAGCTGGGGCCTGCTCTCAAGATCCGGGCGCAGGTGCGTGCCAGTGGGGCGGTGGTCCCCTGTCCTGGAGAGACAGCACCAAGGTTGCAGACCCCCAACCCAGGCTCTCTCCACAGGTGGCCAAGCGCTTGGGCCGAGTCTTCTACGTGGCCAGCTTTCCGGTGGCATTGCCACTGCAGCCACCAGCACTGCGGGCCCCCGAGCGGGCACTCACCTCAGGGGAGCAGCCCCCGTCCCCAGCCACGGCCCCCTCACCCTTTGTGGGGGGACTTCCCACTGCCGGCCAAGCCTCACCCAAGCAAGAGAACGGGACCATGGCTCTGCTCCCAGGGCCTTCAGACCCCTCCCAGCCTCTGTGCTGAGTTGTGGAGCCCACCCTTTAGTGCCAGCCACTGCAATGCAAAGGCCCCTCCCCACAGCTGCTTTTCCTCTGGTTTTGGGAGCAAAAACACAAAGAACTTTTAAAAAGAAAACATGTGACTTAAGAGGAAAGGCATGTGTTTTCAAAGACTCTGGGGGTGACGCGGAGCCTGGCGCACAGGCCTGCGATCCAACCTGGGGGCTGCAGACAAACCAAAGACAAGCGGTTCACTGGCCAGGCCGGCCCCTGGCTCCCTTGGGAACGGACTGCAGTGAGATTTCAGCGTCCTGACATCAGGTGAGAGCTCAGCTTCCCTCGTGGGCGCCCAGCACCCTTGGGTGCAGCAGTGGGCTGGCTCCACAACGCAGGTGTCAGTCACCAAGGCTGCCACTCCAGTGATCAGCACAGTGCTTGGTACTTCCTGGTCTTTTATGTTGTAAAAATAAAGCCCTGTCCGCCATCTACTGTCCTTCCTGGGGTATGGGCACTGACCCCAAGGCCTCAGGCCCAAGGCTGAACTGCTGGTGAGATGGGGCACTGCAGGCAGACCAGGATGGTGGCCCTCAGTCCTCCTCAGAGAGTTGTAGGTCTTCCAGTTCATCCTCCGGCCCCTGGGCAAGCAGTCGCCACAGCTCCCGGGGGGCCAGCCCTGACTCTGCATCTGAGCCTCCATCTGCAGGGAGACACCGAGGCTACATAAATTCTGCTTTATCAGAAAGAAGCCAGCCTGGGGGTTACTCATCACTAATTAATCACAGCACTAATTAATTTATCGGTGCCGCTGCTGCTGGCTGCCAGAGCTAGCAGGAACAGAGCAGCTGGCCCTACATCCCCAGGGAGGAGCCTTGGGCACGAGCTCAAAGGGCACAGCACCCTGACCCAGGAACCACTCACCGTCCGAGTTGCTAACTTCTTGGCCACTACTGCTGCCGTCCTCATCTTCATCCTCGTCTTCATCCTGGTCATCCTGGTCGTCGTCCTCTACCCCCTGCTGAGCTCCCGGAGACCTAGGTGTAACTGGGGGCCAAGGCAAGGAGCCCATGGGAGAGGCCCACAGCAGATGCACAAGGGGTGGCAGCTAGGCTCACAGCCCTGCACCAACCCTCCCCTTGGGCAAGTGGAAAAGATTCAGAACTGCCCTGGAGAGTAGTGGGGAGAGGGACAAGGCCTAGGGACACATGTTCCAATTCCAGGAGGCCCACCTCAAATCAAAGAAAGCAAAGTGGTGGGGAAGGGCAGAGTGGCCCCCACAAACAGGAGCTGAGGTGGGAGCAGGCACCCCTCCACCAGGCCTGTTGCCCACCCCCTGGGAGTTCATTCAAGCCGAGCCACACAGGCCCACCTCTCTCTGAGAAGTCTGCAGCATCGTCGTCATCACTGTCCAGGTCAAAGAGGTCCTTGAATTCCACCCTGTCCTCATCCTTTCTGTCCCCCAGCTTCCGCCGCTTTATCTCTGGGAAGTTCAGGTCTTCCAGCTGGAAGGCCCAAAACAAGAGCAGCAGGTGAGGGTGTGCAGGGCGCCCTGGGTGCCAGCCCGGCCACACAGCCACAGCCCTGCCACCAGCAAGAACCCTCATTCCTAGACGGCAGCCACACAGGCCCACCTCTCTCTGAGAAATCTGCAGCATCGTCGTCATCACTATCCAGGTCAAAGAGGTCCTTGAATTCCACCCTGTCCTCATCCTTTCTGTCCCCCAGCTTCCGCCGCTTTATCTCGGGGAAGTTCAGGTCTTCCAGCTGGAAGGCCCAAAACCAGAGCAGCAGGTGAGGGTGCCAGCCCGGCCACACAGCCACAGCCGTGCCACCAGCAAGAACCCTCATTCCTAGACGGCTTCTCCTAGACCCAGTGTCCTGTTTTTCTTTCCCCACACAAACACCTGCTGGGCCACTTTTCCTCCCGAAGCCTAGTGAGCATCCCTGGGAAGGATTCCTGGACAGCCACCCGCCAGGTGGAGGAGGAGGAGGCCCCAGCCACCCACTGGCCTTTAAGTGCCATTCAGGTCACAGTCGCATCCTGCAGGGCAGCCCCACCCCCATCCTGTCTTAAAGTCATAGCCAGGGTGCTAGGTCCTCGTCTCCGAACAATCCAGCCGGGCGTGCCCAGGCTCCGACAGCCTCCCAGCCCGTACCCGCTCTTTGCCACTGATTTCCAGCTGGATCTCCCGGTCCCTCAGTTTCCGCCACTGGCTGTAGTACTTGGTGAGCGGAGTCCCCTCCTCTCGGGTCTGCTTCTCCCAGTCATCCTGTGGGGAAAGGTTGGGGTCACGTCCCATCCTGGGCAAAACCCCAAGCCCCAGCCACACACGAGTGCCCTCCCCACTGACCACGGCCTGCCGGTTGGCCACACCAAAGGAAGCCCTCTGGCGGAGGCTGCAGATGTGGTCTGCGTTCTCCTGCACCTTCTCCAGCAGCTGGCGCACCTGCCGGCAGTAGTTGGCTACCTTGCACTCTCGGAGGAAGGACTTCAGCTGCAGAAGGAAGAGGGGCTCAGCCAGCTCCACACAGGGCTGCTCTGCATGCAACCAAGGGCCCACCCCCTACATGTGCCCAGAGAGGTAGAGGGGTGGAGGCGTGGAGCCCTGGGGCAAGTGCCCGTGGGGGCAGAGCCTCCTGAGAACCAGGGCCTGGTCCCTTCATTTACACACTTGTGGGTTTTTTACTTCGAAGGAGAATCAAGCAGTTGTGGAAACCACAGGACTGCAAAGCCTAAAATACCACCTGGCTCTTTACCCAAAAGAATGTGCTGATCTCTGGGGCTTCAAGCCCAGAAATAGAGCCTTGCCCACCCGAACCCAAGTCCCGATGGGCTCTGAGCCAGTGCACTGGGTGGAGGCAACCCCACCCCAGGGCCCTGCAGACAGACAGCACCGCTCCCAGGAGGCACAGGCCTCCCTGAAACAGGAGCATCTCGGCTGAAAACGAAGGACTCCCCTGAGAGTCAGCAGGGGCTTCCGGGAGGGAGGGAGGGTGCCCCCCCCACCCCCCTATCCCCTGAAGGAAGCTGAGGGAGCCCTACCTCCCCACCACACTCAGGACCACAGGGGAGGCATGCAGGCAGGAGACCAGCCCACTCAGGCCCAACTCCCCCAGGACAGACTCAGGGCCCAGGGTCCCACCACTGGCTCTGTGGCTGAGACAGGCTGCCGTCTTCTGCCCTTGTGTCAACAGGGCTGAGGCGATTAAACAGTCTAGTCAGCCTCACAGGAGGTCACAGAGGGGTCTGGGCAGGGCAGGGGAGCCGGGCAGCGGGCACTCACCTGCAGGATGGCCGGCAGCGCCAGTTCCGGGAAGGCGATGCTATGGGCCTGGCTGTGCAGGTACTCAAGGGTGAGGTCGTACAGCTGCTCCACCAGCCCATCCTGAGGAGCAACGGGAGGAGAGCTCAGGCACCTCCCTCACAGGCTGAATGCCAGCTCCCTCTCCAGGGGAGAAGGAGGTGGGGACCCACAGCTTCACTCAGGCTCATGGGGCTGGGGCCCACGGGTGTCTGCTCCCCGACCCTGGGGGCCGACAAGAGTCCATGCAGAAACTCCACAGGGCAGCAAGCCCCTCCTGTTCACACTCCTCTTGCCTCCATGGTCACTCAGGATGCTGACCACAGTGTCCTCTGACATCCTGCGGTGACCCCACCCGGGGCACTCCCTCCCTAGCCCCTCCCTGGAGGCCAGCCTCACCCGGTAAGCCTTCTCCTGCAGGTTGACCTTAGACAGCTTCAGGATCACAGCGAAGTTGATGGGCTTGGAACTCATCCGTCCTGGCTTCCTGTTGAAGTCAACCTGCTGGAAAACCTGCAGGACCGACAGCCTCATCAGACTGCAGTGCTCACAACCACTGCACCCCCGCCCCCCGGGGCCCTGAAGACCCGCCGTGAGAGTAGGGACAAGTGGCCAGAGGCAGTGCCAGCCCTGCAGCCCCACAGACCCCCTGGCCCAAGAGCCTGTTTGCCTTCCAGAGCTCTGGTGGCCCCCAAGGGAGCCCCGCCGTCCCAGAGTGGGACCCTGGCCAACGGGCGTGCCCAGGCCCCGCGTCCGGAGACGAGTCCTTCAGTCCAGGACCACAGCAGCCTCACCCACGATCATGTCCCCAAGGGCTGCATCCCCAGGAGCAACACACTGAGGGGCATGAGGTCTCAGACTGGGGCTGGCAGCCCTGCCTCTGCGTCCTCTACAGAGGGCAGGCTGCTCTGTGCGGGCCCTGCCTCGGGGAGAAGCCCTCCCGGTCAGGAGGCTAAGGCTGCCCAGGAACAGAGTGAGTGCCTGGCCTCTCAGCTGGGCACCTCCCCAGGACACCAGGGCTGGGGAGGTGGGGTGGGGGGGTTCATTTTATGAGCGTGAATTTTCTGTCCCTGCCTTAGGGGTGATCGGGATGAGTTCCTGAGGGGCATGAGGGCCGAGGCTGGGAGAGCCCAACTGTGGAAGGCACCCCCAATAAGAGACTCCACAGAGCCGAGCTCAGGTCAGCTCCAGATGAGAAGCAGCCGTGATGTGTGGACAACAAAGTGGTCCCCGGGAGGGCAGGGTGCTTGCCCCAGCCTGGCTCAGCCTGGGGGGAAGGAGGTGGTCTGATCTCCCACACAGGCTGCTCTTAACCCCTTTTCCACCCAGGGAGGGAAGGGCTGGGGCTCCCCGGAGGCAGAGAGCTCAGCTTCCGCCTCTGTGGTCAGTTTTCTCTGGAGAGGAGAGGCCTGCACCCATGGGTGAGGGATGTGCGGGACGTAGCTATGGCGAGCCCAGATGGGGTCAGTGCAAAAGTGAAGGCGGAAAGAGATCAGTTGGCGGGGGGGGGGGGGGGGGGGGGGGGGGGGGTCATTCTATGAGCATGAAGCTTGCACTGTCCCTGCCTCAGGGCATTGAGTGAGGAGGTTCCTGAGGTTCCCTCCCTCCCCCTCCTGCTCCAGGGCAACCACAAACCTGACCTTTGTCTTCCTGAGGCACGGCTCTGAGCTGTCTGGTGGGTGATGGGTGTGAACTTCTGAGTATTTCCTGGGTTGGGGCCTGACCACCAGTGGATTTCTGGGTTTTGGACCACAGCCTTTCCCAACTGAGCTTACGTGAGCATGCACACGCAGATGTACACGCTCGTGCACACACTCGGGGATGTGCAGAGGGCAGATGCAGCCTTGGAATCAGACCTGGGTTTCCAGCCTGGATCTCCCGCTCACGCTCATGTCGGGCAAATGCCCAGATTGACCCAGGTCTGTGCCCTAAAACCAGCAACCTCAGGCCCACCCCACGAGGCAGCTTCCTTGTCCTCACTGCTGCTCTTGCCAACGAACACATGCACCAGCCTGGGCAGGACCAGGGATGCCCTGGCAGCACCTGTGCTCTGCAGGTGAAGGCCCCGCCCGCTCACCTCCCTACTCACCTCAAGGATGAAGGGCAGCACGGGGATGAAGGTGCCGGTGCCCTCGGAGAGCAGCGTCAGGATGCGCACACAGTGCATGCGCAGCGGGTAGAAGCG